CGGGCCGGGCCGGGCCGGAGCGGAGCGGGCGCTGCCCGGTGGGCTCCATGGCGCTGCCGGTGCTGTCGAGCTCGGGGGTGAAGTTCCGGCGGGTCCTGGCGCACTTCCCTCAGGAGCTCAGCCTGGCCTTCGCCTACGGGTCCGGAGTTTTCCGGCAGGCGGGGGCCTCGGCCGGGCACGGCGAGGTGAGCGCGGCGGCCTCCCCCGGCCCGGGCCGGCCCCTCGGAGCAAGCCCCCGCCGCGGTGTGTGGGGAGCGTGCTTTGGACCATCGCCTACGGGTCCGGAGTTTTCCGGCAGGCGGGAGGGCCGCCGTGGCCGCGGGCCTTGTGCGTTTCTGTCACCGGCGTGGAGCTGGCCCGGCGCGGTAGCTGGAGCTGCCTCCGGCCCTGCGGTTGTGGCCTGTGCGCGAAAGAGGGGCTAAAACCCCCACGTCCCTCACCAAATCGCGAGTGAGCGGGGCCGGTGTGCCGGCCTTGCCGAGGCGGGGTGTCCCGGGGGGCCCTCGGGGCCGGTGTGCGTTCCGGTGCCCCGTTAGCCGCCGAGTCGCAGGTTGGCCAAGCACAAGCGCTCCCTGTGCGCTGCCTGAGGGTGACTCAAGCGAAATACGTTGCCGCGCTGAAGTGGCCTTCTGGGCGCCCCTTCAGCGTTTGGAGGCCAGGCTGCTTGGAAGTAGCCATTTGTTTGTGTGTCTGTCTGTACCTGACCTTTTAAAAATTGTTAATAGGCAGTATTGCTCGTTAAGACTTGCCTGCTAAGTGCTCCCCACAAATGTGACTTTGGATGTGTCTCATTTTCCTTTCTGAAAAGAGAAGAACAGAGGATAATAAGAATTTCAGAGCGCTAACAGCATCTTATCCTCACACAAAAGAACGGGGAGGGGGGAAGGTAGCTAACAGACTATCTTTTCAGTAGTATTAACTGATTAGCTAAGATGCAGCCCAGAACTAGTAAGCCACAGAGAGAGATTGGCCTAATGAATTTGAACTAATGTCACTCCAGCTATTAGTTTGTTGTAGGTATGAGCTGTAAACTTTCAGCTTGTCTGTGTGCAGGGAATGTGTGGACTGATTTCTTCAGAAAAGCAGGGCATGTGTTATAAGTCTTTGGAGTTTGGATTGTTTTGTTGGCAAAAGCAAGTGAATATGCTAGAAGTGAATTTCTTGCTGCCAGCTCTGCCCACATCTCCCGAATCATGGTCTCACGTATTAGCAAAAGTCCTGTTCGTTAGCAGTTTAAGCTGTTATGCTGAGCTGTGAACTAGGACAATGGAGATCTCATCATGTGCTCCCGTTTTGGAGGGTTGAAGTTTGGTCCTGTAGCCAGGTAGACCAGAAAATTTTGGACCATCTCTGCTAGACTGACTAGAAAGCATGCAACTTCATCAGAACCTTTAAACTGTATCTGACATTAATGCTTGTGTTTTGGATTTATTTTTTTTTTACTCATGTGAAAAATGATTACCTGGAAGTTTGATACTATGTATATCTTGGATTAATATGATTAACGTTTGTTGCTTCCTGACATATAAACCCCAACATTTTTCTCCTTATCCACAGAACAATATGCTGGACTTTGTGTTTGCTGTTGATGACTCTGTGACCTGGCATATGATGAACTTGTTAAAGAACAGGAGTCATTATTCCTTCCTAAAACTTTTTGGGCCAAAACAGATAAGTAGTATACAGAGCTATGGAGCAGGGATTTACTACAATACTTTAGTGCCATGTAATGGTAGGGTAAGTACAAGTACTTCGGGTAAAATAAGTCAAATGTCTGTGTGCAAAGTATTGAAATTACTAGCTTAAAGCAGATTTCTGTGCAGGAAGCAAATCTTGTAGATTGTAACTGATACTTAACTTATGGTATCTTCAACATTTATGTCTCAAAACTGTTTCACAAACAGCATATTAATTAAGAAGCAAACAGATTTTTTTTTTGTTTGGAATTTACAACTAAAGCACATCAGAAACTGGCTTTATATTCCTTATTACTTGCTGTCTGCCAGTTTTGGTGGTTCTAAAGTGTATCATGGGGAAACAGGGCCTTAATTACAGCAGTTGATCGTGTAGTAATAGCAAAGTGGATCCTTACGGTTTGACATAAAATGCAAATATTTAACACAGCGAGTTGGAATTGACATCTGTGCTGTTCAACAGCTAATGTCCTGACCTGTGAAGCTTGGGTATAATTAATAGTTCTAGGTAAGTAGTACTTGTCCAGCAAGTCCTGCTCCTGCATCTATGTGTAGACTGTGTTTGGAGGAGGAGTGCAGATAGGAGTCAGGAGAGGGAAACACTGTATCTGTCTTGGTGTTGATTTTGAGTAACTTTTGCCATGAGGTGACAAACTGTACATAGGGAAAGCAAGTTCTTTTAAGGAAGATGGGAAATGAAATGAAAAGAAATGAAGGACAGTCATGGAAAAATGCCATGTGACCAACAGGGCACGCATGGTTGCAATAATGTTGGGTATACGTCAGAATTCTTCATAGGAAGTTGGAGAAGTAAAGTAGTCTGTTAGGTACTTGCTGTTTTGTTTAAAGGCATCTGTATGAGGCAAGAATTTGGGGTTTAAACCTTGTTCACTTTATGTAAAAAGGGATTTTGGATTTTATTTTAAGTACTGGTGATCTTTGCTATGAAATTCTGTTCTTCTTGGCTCTTTATGCCCTTATCTCATGCTGTAATGACTCAGTCATATTACAGTCTCTGGTCCTTTGTTATCCAGAAATTCTGGAGTTGGCTTCCTTGCTGTGGTGATAATCTTTGGAAACTCAGGAAGTGCAAATTGGTAACAAACCGCTGAAAGTTCGTCTTTTTTTCAGTTACATAAAATGAACTACAAAATCACAATTTGTTTTCTAACATCAAAGAGCAAAAGAAAAAGCTCACTGATATACACCCTAGCCCGCAATAATGGTACACATAAATGTGTAGGGGTTTTGTTTATTTTAGATCTCTGACAAAATAGTTCTTTAGTGTTTTCAATATCATAAAGGATACTGTGGATTATGCCAACTATTGTAATGTTTGGCTGGTACAAAACTGATCGTAACCTTTCCAAAATTTTTTTATGAACAGTTGTATTTTAATGTTCAGATCTCTTCAGTGTCAGTGTCTGTCTAGACTAGGTTTTGGGGGGATTTAAAGTCTTTTGCTTTAGTGATTGATGCTGGAGTGACTTTATTGTAACTTTGATTCTAGAACGGATCTTAAAGACTTCTGTGCATTCCACTTTTTTCTTTTTTTTCCAGAAGTTTGCATGTAAATAGGAATTATTTTTTTTACCTCCTGTGTTCATTAAAACGTTTTAAAAACATTAAAACGTTTTAATGTTGTGCATCCAGTTTTTTATTGGACGTGTGTGTTCCTTAGAATTAATGACAGTTGTAGTAAGTAGTAAGTTTTATGCAGTGGATGTGGTGCAGGTATATGGTTTTTCAAAAGCCTTTATTTTGCTTTTTTCCAGATGATAAAATATGGTGTAATTAGCACTGATACCCTGATTGATGATTTACTTCACTGGAAAACCCTGTATGTCGCTGGACGCCTCCAAAAACCGGTAACTGTTAGTCTGTTCAGTTATCTGCCTTGAAATGCAGGAAATTACAGGGCTGGAAAATTATCAGTTGTAGTTTTAACTTTAACTGTTAAGGATCTATATGTGTCAGTACTGAACAAATGATCTGCTCTGGTTTAGGGATCTAGTCCTAGAGGGATAATCTCTCAGAAAGGAAGTGAAATGTAGTCCTTAATGATATTCTGTGTTATGTGGAAAAAAACCCTGAAATTAAGTATATTAATCACAGCTTTCTGCCTATAGTAAATCTTGAATAACTGGACTATATTAACTCAGAGTCCCTTTAATGTTAAATGTAATATTTAGCTTTTATAACAAATTATAGCAGTCACCAAAATTTAACACAGTTAAATAATGGAAATCTGTAAGGATGAAAGCTGCTTTGCTGTGCAGTTACTGTCTAGTTCATTGTGTTGTTAAAGTATCTATAACTGACCGAACCATGTGTTACGCATGTTGGTTTTTCTCCTCCATGTTTGTGTCACAAAAAATAGGTCTTTGCTTTGCTATGAGTGCCTGACTCGGTGTGCTTTCAGCAGATGGCAGCAGTGCTGTTAAAATCTCTTAAGAGGGGAGGGGAGGGGGAAGGAAAGGAGAACTCTGTTCAAGTCTCAGTAAAGGAAGTTAATTATGCTTTAAACTAAAAATTTGGGGTGAAAGTTTGAATAGATTGTCTCAGCACTACTGGTTTTTTTCTATCTCCAGAGACATATTATAGCATGATACAGGTTAGAACAGCTCTTGTCTTTATAAAGAATGAAACTTAATACATTGAGACAAATTAACTGAAGGAAGAATTCTGAATTCCACGCTAACAATGAATCGTGAATATTCATTTTCAATGTAACTGCATTTGCTGCTGCTTTGATTTATTTTAGGATTTTTCTTCATCTTAGTATGTATAAATTGTGCTTTTTATCTTTTGAGTAAATTCAATGGGAGTACATACTTGCACAAGAAGGCAGAAGTTGGTGCTTTTTTTCGGTTGCGAACAAGACAGCAGAGATATCTTCACGCATATTTATTTAATAGATAAAAGAAAAACTTGGTCCATATTATTTTCATAAAGCTCACAGGAATATGCATTGAGGAAAGACTGCAGGAGTTAAACTAGAATTTGACTGAAAGATTGCTTGGTGAATGTTTAAACTGTCTCTTTGTGTAGAATCTATGAAATCACTAACTGGGATTTTGAACGTTATACCGTGTTGACCAAAAATGACCAAATAATTTGTTTAGATCTGTTGTATGGGTTTCAAATGTCTGCTGGTTCTGGCTTCACAACTGATTTGATGTTTTGATATATATGTTGTAACCGATAGTGATACAAAGCTGGTTTTACCTCCTGAAAAATGTACACTAAGCCTCTTTTAGAGGGGACATGGGGTTAGGTTGGTTTTCTTATACGCTATAATCTCTTACATACCATTTGCCATTTTTGCTAGTTCTGGACACAGTTGACTGAAGCCAGATTAATATTGTTGAACAGTTTGTTTGGGAATTTTCTCCTCACTCCCACATAGAGGAGGAAGAGCTCAGTGCCTTTCTGGTGTGCCATTGCAAAGTTGTCACTCTCTGAGTGAAAGCTGTCCAAGCTATTCTAGCACATGAGCTAAAACATTTGCTCTGGCTTGAAAATCTTGGCTTAATTTGCAGTGGAGGTTTTGTTTCTGTTATAAACTGGTTGCCTTGACCAAGTAATCTTTCCAGAATGTTTGGCAGAATAGATGGAGTTTGGAATTGCCACTTAGAAACACTAACTTTTCTTCCCAGGCTTCTTTGTGTTAAGTTTATTGGCTTTTCATCCTACATGAAATTTATAACACTGATTAACTAAATTCCCATTTAACTGCATTGAAAAATTGAATAAACAAATAAACAGTTGTAATTTTTCCATAACTGACAGGTTTCCTGAAAAAAATTTGAAAAAAAGCTGCTGTACCTAAAAAGTAAAATAAATAAGAACAAGTAACACATAATTTGTTTTCAGAGGAGAAAGATTTTTAAAAGCATCTGAGGTATTACTGAATTTTTGTTAAACATAGAGTGTAAGTAATTGCTTTAGTGTAAGCAGCTGTATTTACTGTTGTCCTGGAGAAACTGTTAAGAGAAGGAAGTGTTTAATAAATTGAAGCGAGGTGAGAGAGAGAGAGAGGACTATGAGTAGTATATGGAATTATCTTGTACTTTTTAGAGGGGTCTTGGGAGTTTTAGGTTTTTTTATATTATAAAAATTCCCACGAAGGAGTGACAGAGCACATATTTGTTTACAGAATTTTTCCAGTGTCCAAATCTCTAAAAACATTTTTTTGAAAGAGAATGGAAAAATCCTCTTATCGTGATACTGAGCAGAGCATGCATGTGGCTAAATGGTAAACTGGAATAGTGCTTTTGACACCTTTCATTCTATAATGAAATTTTCTTTGTGTATTTTGTTTGTCTGTAAGTATCTTTATTTACACATGCCTGCAGTTTCTTGTGTATGAATTTCCTAGCAGTGATGGTAGTACATTTCCTACTTTAAACTGTTGTGATCACTGAGGGTTGTGCTTATTTATAAAATTGAATATATCCCTCATTTAAAATATTTACAATTTTAAAGTCTCTACTGTTAATTAATCGAATTCTCTGTATACTGTAAAACCAGAATAAATTGGCTGCTTGTCTCCCCCTTATGTGATATGGTACAGTGAATAGTTCTGATCACAAGTTCTCTGTACTGTGAGAAAGCCTTCCTTGACTTTGGTCTTCTTTCAGATTTACCCCAAGAATCAACATTCATCCTTGTAATAGCTGGGTGATAACTATTGCACTCTGTCTTCCTGGGAGATTTCTAGCTATCTGAACTGTTTAAAATATGTTCATAAATGGTATCACTACTGTAGTCTTTCAGGTGTTCAGGTTTTGAAGCCTAGTATATTATTCCCTTTTGAAAAAATTCTGGTTTATGTTAGGGAGTATTTTTAGCAAAAGAGGAGATTATTCCTTTTACTTCACTACAGCAATTCCATGGTCTTCCATGAGGAGGAATAGCATCCCTGCCAAGTTTCATGTTTTAAAAGGCTGTAACTGTGGTATTCTTAAAACATGTCCATAACTTGCTGTTATTTCCAGGGCTAGCCTAAGGTACGAGCAGTTGGCATGACTGCTTGGGGTGCCACGGACTTCTGTCTTTCCTTAGAGTTTCCCTGTAGCAGCAAGTTATGAAAGTACATATAAGTGAATTAGTTGATGAAATTTTAAATATTAGTTTATCCTCGTGACCAGCCTGACCTGTTTATTGGATCTTATTTGAGCGAGTCTGTATGCATTCAGTAAACTTCTCCCATGGTTTTCAAGGAAATAAAATCTACTCTGGGCAGATGAATATATTGTATTTTAATGTATTTTATCATTGTCTTTCATTCTAATGCTACAAAATACAAAGTAATTTGTAGGAGAATTTAGGAGGAATTCTGAAATGCTTGCTTGTGCAGTGAACTCTTTATTTTTAAATTGAAAATCAAAGAAAGGAGAACATCCTTCAGCAATCCACCCTGGACCAATTCCTGACTATGGTATAGATTTGATGTTAGGCAAACCCATGCTTTAGTGCAAAATGATTGAAACAAGCAGCCTGTATACTGTTGCATTCACCATCATATCAAAATGAGATATTGTTCTAGTTTTATCCCTCTTAAAGATTTCACCATAATTTAAAAGTATGTTCTGAATATAGTATTGGCCAGCCATGACATTGCTTTGTCAATGTCCTTTCTATGAGAAGAATTTTGTGTGGCAGATATGTCTGATTCTCATACTTTCTTTACTGAATCTGGGTTTGTTTTTTTTAAATTTTTTTCCTTCATTAACAGAGTATTTACATTCCTAAAGGAAAATATTTACTTGAAAGGATACCTCAGCTGTTTCAGGTTATACATGGGGGCAGAATTTCAAGTAATACTGCAATTCGTTTGTGTGTGAATGGGCTCTTGGGGAGAAAAAGCAAGTTGGATATGTTTGTTCATAACTGCCAGTGGGTTTGCATTTTAAGGTATTCTAAAATAAACGAATATTAAGAAGCTGCCCTTTATAAGCAAGACAGTATTGCTTAACCAGAACACTTGAAAAAGACAGAAACTGACAACAAGCAGGTATTCTTGGGAGAGTTGTTTCTGAAAGAGTGTAGTTAGCCATCTTGTAAACCAGGGTGACTTCATCTGTCTGAATATAGAAACATATTATTATAGAACATTAGTTCTTACTGAAGATCTGCTTTTTATTCCAGTATATTTCCATATCCTAGGTGACTGGATTCTGTTGTTGGTCTCGAACAGTTTGAAAGTGTCCTAAAAATAAACTCTTCTTTGTGGCACATAGAAGCACTCAACTTCAGTGATCTGTTCTTCATGTATATGTGAAGTTCCCATTGACTTCACATTCTGCTTATACAAAGTGCAAAATAAAGCCCTGCTTCTTCTAGGAGGACAACTAATGTCTAAGAAACTACTTAAAGCATATGATAGAGGAGTACTCTATTAAAAAAAAAAAAGAAAAAAGAATATGAATAGGAAAACTTACCTTGTTTTCTGGTATTCCATTCTCTTTCAGTGTGACTGGTCTTTTTTTCTTATTGCATAATCACATATGAAGTATTTCTGTTGATGCATTCATATTTACTGTTTTGATTAATCCTAAATTTATGAATATGAAAAGGTAAATAGCTCTTCAGAGATTAGTTAATGGCTGTTGCTTATAGCAGTTCCAAACCTTTTTTGTAAAAATAGCCTTCTGTAGCAGGCTGTTAATTCTTAAAAAGATGTCCCTCTCTCTCCCACTGTGTAAGCAAAAAGGGACACTCTCGTCTTTATTGTACCATAGTAATAGGATATAATCTTAAATAAATTTCTTATTTATTTTTCATGCTAGATTGAGTAACGTTTCTAGCTCCATCTTCAGTAGCACTTTCCAGAAGTCTTTCTTCAAATGACTCTGCTTTTTCAGGTGAAAATACTGACACAGAATGAGAATAGCAAGCTGCAAGCTGCTCTTGTTAGCAATCTGAAGAGTGCAGTCACAGCAGCCTTTCTCATGTTACCAGAAAGTTTCTCTGAAGAAGACCTCTATATGCAGATTGCAGGACTCTCCTATTCTGGTTAGTATATGGTGTCTAAAGTCTCTGAGGAGAAAAGCTGTAGTTGGAGCCGTTGTACCACAGTAGGAAGTCTAATGTATAATAAGTCATCGGCTCTCTTGCTTTGGGCCTACACTGTTGCATGCTCCAACAACTATATTTTAATGCTGTGTTACATAACACCTTGGAAAGACTAACTGTGCTTATTCATAGGAAATAGGTATAGGTACGTAAGCAAAACTTCTTATATGAACAGCTGAGTATGGGTGATTGAATAGGGTGAAATTTTTTTTTCTGTTTATATGGATTGTATTTTGGTTTTAACGCTACAAAACTTTGGAAGAAGATTTTTCTTTCCACTCTCAGTGTAATGTTGATTCATCTGATAGTCTGACCTATACTTTGTTATCTCTTACTTTTTGAATGTGCTGTGTTTAAGGTTCATATTCAGTTAACTTAAAGATCCAGATTATGATTCTTCAATATATGTTTAACACTCACCTTCTGGTTGGTATTGGTTGACTTTTTTGGTGAGAAAATCTCCTTCTTTAGTTATGAAATTGATATGAATTGGTGTGGAAGAAAATTTAAGAAATTACTCCAAATGACTCTTCAATAGACGACTTAATTGGTACAGTTTAATTCAGCATTGCTCTTTAAATGTTGATATCCTTAATGAAATCACTATGAAGAAGTATGGTTGGAATTGTACTTCACACAGCACTTTCTTTGCTCATATACAAGTGCAAGTTTGGCTTTAAAAAAAAAACCCCTGCAGGTAGGGTTTGTAAGCTGCAGCTTGGTTCTACTGAGGAGTGCTACTGTTCTTTGCATAGTACTTCTCTGGTCAGTTTAGATTGCAACTTGTTCAGCTTTTCTTTAGCAGCTTTTTTTTCTGAATTGTTATCTGTTTGAAAGTGACAGTAAAGAGGGTAGTGACAGTGGGATGGGATGGCTAAGGGTTGCTAACCAGGGATGTTTGCTACAGGGCTGCATACCTGCCCACCTGAAACCTGTCCAGGAATGTCATTAGATTCTTGGTGAGCACTAGTGACCAAGATACTTTTTTTATATATCCTTTGAAACAGTGCAATTAACAAAAAACATGGGAGATCAGTTACCATGCTGTAAGATGTTGAAATTGGCTCTGCTATGTGAACAAAGCTAAAGCAGTAAGACTCCCAGTTGGGAATGTTCAAGAAAAAAGCTGTCAATTACACGTTTGTGGATATTTTATTTTGCTGCCATTTTGTTAAGTCTTAAACTTTTCAGAGAGTATACTAGTAGACAAAATTTATGTGTTACTCTACTCAGTCTCCTTGGAGACTGCTGAAAAGAGTTGTTCATGCTTTAATTTGGAAAATGTTTATCCTTTTACTTTTTTATGCATTTTTTTTGAGAGCAGTGAGTCAGTACCATTTATATGGGAAGTGTTTGTTTTGCGGCTTGGCATAAATTAAAATAAACTAAGTAATGCTAGCAAGTTGCCACCTTGCAACAACATTTATCTCCTGAATGTGGGAAGTGGGAAAATGAATTGATTCAGGATTCTGTTTGTTGGTATGTGCTGCACTGAGCCTCTGACTCCTGGTTGGTAACACTGGAAGCTACCAGGGTAGTACCTAATAGAGGTACATGAATGCTCTATTACAGACTTCACTGTCTTTTCACTTACTCTCTTTGAAGCTTTTCAGTCATGTATCATAAAAGAAAGTGTAAATGTCAGTAACGTAACAGTGGTGCTAAAAGGAGTTACTTTTTGAAACTACTAACAAAGTAGTGGCTAAGAGAAAAGCGTGATACTGTGATCTTACCATGACTGCCATTAGCTGTGCTTCAGGTATTGCCCTTGAAGTGCAGAGACAATGCAAATTATTTTCTTTCAATATTGGAAAATTGAAGGTTATTTGTTTCTGGATACAAAGTATTGGGTCTGGTCAATTTGTTTAGTAATCTGTTGAAACTGATGTATGGTTGCAAAGAGTAGAACTGTGTTACTCCTGCTTTTGAGTCTGAACTTGACAGCTGGAACTTTTTTGTTGTCCAAGTGAAAATGTGGACACATAGGTTGATGACAATACAGCATATCAGAGGCCACATAACAATTCTGAATCTTATTTTCTGTGCTTGAAGGTATCTGAATAGTATTTTTTGACTATTAGAAGGTGAACCTTTTTGTGGATTATATAGGCATTGGTAGAATTGGAGAATAAAGTTTTAGATGACAGCTTTGTACTATGTTGGTTTCTGTTATGTTCTTCTTTGAGTTTTTGTGTTTTTCCTAATGAATTAACTGTTTCTCTTTTCTTGACTAGGTGATTTCAGAATGGTAATAGGAGAAGACAGATCGAAAGTGCAGAACATAGTGAAACCTAATGTTCCCCATTTTCAGAAGCTGTACAGTAACATATTACAGGACTGCCCTCAAGTGGTATATAAGCACCATCTGGGAAGGCTAGAGGCAAGTGTTCTTCAAAACATTTTTAAAACAAGCAACTGGAAGTGCTTTATCACATTGACAGAAGGTAGGAATTTATGCCATATACTAAGGAGAGCAGTTGGAGTCACTGTACTTGCTATTTGTTACGTCTCTGTTGTTTAGTTAATTCTGCAACCAGAAGACTTGTCTTAAATACCAGTCTCTGCATATGTAGTAACTACTGTTCATTTTCTCTGAGGATGGGCACAGAACTAGAGCCCTAGCAAGGGAACAAGAGAAGATAATTTTAAAACGTGTGTTCTAATGACTACCATATGGAAACAACAGTCTAGGAAGTGATGAATAAACATATGGTTTGCGTTAAGAAGATTAGGCCATAACTTAGAGGTGCAACTTTCTGCAAGCAAAAACTGCATCTCACAAAAAAAACGTAGAGTGCTGGTTATGAAGATCAGTTGACTAAACCCAATTGAAATTCTGCCATTATCTTTAAATACCCATACTAAACCATTTTTTTCCTAGTATTTGGGAAACAGGTATCCAAAATGACCAGTATCTTGAATTCCATCTTTCTGGCATAAGGTATAAGTGCAACGTTGCAATTAGGGGAGAGATGCCATAGTCAGGGGTCCAATAGCAATTTTTCCTCTTGTAGTATGCATGTCCGTGTGCGAACGTTCAAGTATGATATACATTTCAACATGAAGTTACAAGTAGCATGGGTTGTCTCATGGCCATGGGTGTTTCTTTATCCTCAAGTCACCTTGGTAATTATCTCATGAATGCCTCCTTTTAGGACATGTATTTGTTAGAAACTGAAGTACAGATATAAGCAAGCTTGTGTACAGTAAACAATTTTACTGCAACGCTTTGGAGTACAGTGTAGACGAATCTGTATTATACTGCAGCTGTCTCCATGTTTTCTTATCAGTGTGCTTTTGAACAGTTTAGTGGAAGAAGTATTTAAATGAATTTTGAAAAGAATCAGTAATGCCTTCTCCAAGAAAATGGCTAGTTAGAATAATACTTCCTGTTGTGTTGCCTTTAAACAAATCCTAGTAGCATACTACAAACATGTTGTTGGATAATAAATCTGTCCATAATTCCATAATAGTCATCGAGTCTGTTGATTAAATGCCATCATTTTACTGTTGATTTTGAGCAAAGTGTTTTAATACTTTATTCCTCATACCTTGGTCTGGTTTATGGCAGTTATTCCCCACACTGAAGAGGATAACTGCTATTGGGAGTGGTGTTTCATGCAGAATAGAAACCCCTTCTCCAAGTAGTCTTCAAGAGTTACAGAGAAAATTCTTTCTTAAAAGATTCCTCAGAAACAATTGAAGGCAGACACTAGTTCTTATAGTTCTGGTTCAGGCGTGGATTCCTCCCACATAATGTTAAGAGCCCGCTCGTTGTCGGCTTCCTCTGTAGTCAGTGGGTGATTCATCTGGATATCATTTTCTCCCCATTGACTAAAGGGAGTGTATAGGGCAACTAGACTCCTGTCTGATGTCTCCATGGACTGTCTAAAAAGTTGTGTGGGAGGAATTGAGCATTTCATATTTTCCTCCAGTTTTGGAGAGATCTGCTCCATTATGCATTTTTCAGTATTTGTGCTTACATTTTGTATAAATGTGTACAGGCCTGCATGTTGGTATCATTGTATTCAAAAAAGGGTCATTGAATTTCTGATTTAGATTGGAAAATGTGGAATGAATGTTTCCTTCAGATTATATGAACCAGATGTGGTTTGAGTTTAAAGCAGAGAAAATGTTTTTCAAACTAAACTTGAAATGTGTGTGTGTATAGTTTGATTATATTCAGGCAGAAGAAACTGAGCTAAGTGGTCTTTTGGGAACTTCTTTTTTTTCATTGTAGTGTACTTATGTTTCTAAAGGAAATTGGATAGAACAGAAATTATACAGTTTCAATGAAAAGTTGTTTGCAGAGGCAGCAAGATCATATGTGTACATCAGTCTTCCCTTGCATAAAAATTAACACCTTTGCATTGAATTATTCTTCAGGTTCAGAGCTGAGATACTGCATTTCCCAGTGCTTGGGAAGTTTTCATTAGCATTGTCAATGACATTTACAAGTGAAATGAATCGTGTTCTTTGAGGTATTTATCAGAGGTCAAAGATAGCCAAAAGACTCTTCTGACTTCTTTGAATAAGAGAACTTACTTTATTAACACTGAATGTTTTTACTGTCTTATTTTTTATAACATTCAGATTGATAAAAGTCCAGAAGGTCAATTTACGCAACTAATGGCTTTGCCAAGGACTCTGCAGCAAAAGATAACTTCTCTGGTAGACCCTCCTGGAAAAAACAGAGACGTGGAAGAAATTTTACTGCAGGTTGCCCATGACCCTGACTGTGGATTTGTGGTGCATCAAGGTAGGCCTAGATCAGTGTCTGTAATCTCCTTTAAGACATGATAGATATACAGATTCATTGTATATGTTCTTCTAATTCAGAAGGATGATTTAGAGAGAAGGACAATGAAAACAAGAGATTAATCATCGCATACACTCCTAAAAGCATGGGTTTGGATTTGTTTCATTGCGGGCAGATTATCTGAAATACTAGCAAATAGAATTTGTACTGATATAGAAAGATATGTTGTGGTTTGGGTCCTGAAAGAAGTAGTCTTTAGGAATTAGTGTGGCCTGCTTAGACCATCTAAACTCTATTTGGGATTCTTACATCTTCAGGATTTCATTGGCTGGCATAACTTCATCTAAATACTAAGCTATATATCCTACCAGTCATACATTGCAATGCTAAGTTAATTTTCTGGCTTGCTGACATTACCCTTCCCAATCATCATAGTTAGTCCAGATACATGAGCTCTGGCAGAGAACTGCAGCTTTGAGGAAAAAGGTTGAGGTGCTTCTCATCATCACAGATTCTCTGAGGCAAGATGATGTCATATGAGCAAATTAAAGCTAATGCTGCAGACATCAATCTTTTATTATACTGCAGAAAAGTGAAAATGTTTAGTACTTGAAGAGTCCTTTGCATCTTTAAAGAACTTGACACATCTTAGTTCCAGGTAGCCAATTTTGCAAGCTCTGTCAACACAGCAAAAACTCCCTAGATACCTGACAGCCGCTAGACACTAGCCAACTGCCGAGGGGGGTCTTACACTGATTTCTGTTTGGGGAAATAAAGCTCCTGAATGTTGCAGTTCTCCATTGACAGTATAGGATGGATGAATTGCACCTGGACATCAAAGTGTCCAGCTTCTTTCATGTCAGTCTATGGCAGCTTCTATGCTGCTGTGGCTGGACTGCAACAGTAATGTGATAATAGCTGAATCTGGGAGCAGGAGTTGCAGTGTTGTGAGCTGCATATAGTTTTAGAGCTCTGGGTTGTTCACCCTGAGCTAGCTATCCTTGTGGTTGTGTTTATGTAGGGTGTTGCAGGCATGGCTGTGACTGTGGGCTGTGCACAGTGGTGCAGCAGTTCAGTATCAAAAGATTGGATAGATTTAGTCTTCTCAAGCCAAGCAGTTTATACTCTTAGGAGAACAAATCAAAACCCCTCTCTCACTTTTGTGGCCAAAAGATTTTCCTAATTTAAGAATCTAGGTAAAGGACAAGACAGGCCACTTGGTAATCCTACAAGACAAAGCTGATTACTCAAGCTGAATTGCATTGTCTCTAGGTATTTTACTAGCTCAACATGATTTGTTCCCCTCCCTACCACTACCCCACCAAATTATTTTCCCGTGGAATATTGTATCCCTCTTCCTTATTTGTGGATTTCCCTAAGCTTTGTTCTTCATTATAGAAGTAGCTTTGAAAGAAGGATTTAAAAGTAATATTTGAAATTATATTCTACATTCTGGTTAATGCAGAAGAATGACTTTCAGTTTGCAAGACAACTCTGGGACTGCTGCATTTCTACATTTTTAAGTATTTAGTAAAGTACAGTAGTTTTGTTCTGCACATATCAGTATGCTTGTATACGTATGTGTTAGAATAGATAAAATCTAATACTTCCCCCAAAAAGTTTTAATGTTTTACATACTATTCAATTGAATACCTAAGAACCACTGGACAATGAGAACTGAATGTGCCATAGTACAAAGTGGTAAATGAGCCTTATCTCCAAAAGCTGTTAATTTAAAAAAGCCAGACAAACACTGCACAATATAGGCATCTCTGCTTGATCAGAGAAGTGCAAAATCCCAATTCCATACTGAAGTAAACAATGAGTATAATTTGTTCTGCTCTAGAAAGTTAATATACCAGCACTTAGATGAAACAACTCTGAATCCTTTATGACTAGTCATCTTAGTAGAGAAATAATGGGAACACAAATAAATTAATTTGATTAATTCCTACTGGTTGTTATCTGTTTTAATATTGATTTGTGGGGTTCTTTTCCCTGTATGTTATATATAAAGTAAGTTAGACTAGCTTAGAGAAAATTTTCAATTAGTATCACAAAGCAGAACAGTAACAAACTTTCTCAGCTTAAGTGTATGTTTTACTTTCAGACTGGCTTGATTGTATAACTGGAAAAATATTTAACTTTGTGTATGCTGGAGGATAAAAAAATCCCCACAGAACTGCTAAGATGGGTAACATCTGTGTGCTTTTCTATCTGCAGGCATTTCAGGAATTGTGAGATCTTCCAGTATAGTGCAGAGTGCTAAAACCATACTAACAGCTGGTAAGAATGTGTGTGATTTCTATCAGCATAGGCTTTCTGATTTCACAAAGTAAAAATTGTAGGGCCCCAAGACTGTCTTGTTACAAGAGTTTAAAGAATAAACTTTTTGGGTGTCTAATTGAAAGCCCCTGGAAAATGAAAGTAACATTTAAAGCAAAAGCTTTATATAACTACTGAGAAATTGTAAAATGCCAAAAGGAATTGGAGTCTATATGACTCTTAAACAAACAAACAAACCCCCCAACAACCCAGAAGTAACAAAAAAACAACTTCTGACTTCAATTTTATCTTATATATGGGCCAGATTTGCACTACTTCTGCTCTTTTTGTATTAAAAAAACCAGAAAAAATTACCTTATAATTCAGTCTGGCTTTCTACGTGTGAGTGGATCCCTAAATGATCAGTACGTAGTATTGGTGTGTTATGTAGACTGTAAGGTTATTTCATCATAAAATAAAAGAGGGGATGAGTTTTGAGGGAGAGAGCTTTGACAGGAACCGATGTTTTCCTCAGCCTTGGAAGACAGGTGTGTCTTTGAAGACATCATGTATTTCAAACTGAGCCTATACTTGGTGACTGTTGGATATTACTGTAACTCTCATACTTCAAAATTAATTACTTTACAAAAAGAGTCTTACAAAGTCAGTGTGAGAGAATGTGTAGAAGGGAAAAAAAGGACTTGCTTTTATAGAAACATGGGAAAACTAGGGATGCTTTTCAGCTATCAAAGTCTTCCTAACTGAATGAAAGTTACTGCCAGTTACATAGGTGAAGCTTCATCCTGTTTCCTGAGTTCTGGAATAAATCTAACTTTAAGGTGACCTGATTTTTACATTTTAAAAAGCTGAAAGCACTGCAGCTTGATTTAAAAGGAGGACTTAAGACCTGAGCCTTAATTTACTTAAAACTCTGATCGGGGATAGTCTTAATTCCTGCAAAGTGAAAAGTCCTTGCTGCTTGCATGAAGTTGCTCAAATAATTTTCTGAACTCATTCATACCTATTCCTAATTCTTCCACAAAAGCAATTACATACAAATGATGCCATTACTAGTTTTAAAAGCAGCTGTATAGTTTCCTACTGAGCAGTCCTTATCCAGACTTCTGCAGCTGTTGTTCCCTTCCCATTTAGTATTGAAGTTGGTGGCTCCACGTTATGCTTCCTACCTCCTTGTAAAGAAACACAAGTTGCAGTGTTCAGGACCATTAGTGGGCTGCCGAGTAAAATAAGCACGAACAGTTGTACTTTTTATATGTTTCTGTTAATAGTCTAGTTCTATTAACTGGAAGAAGTCTGACAAAACTATTGCCTAACTTTGTTTAGCAGCTGGAGGAGACTAAGGACACAGCTCCATCTGAGAAAAGCAAATTTATGTTTTATACGAGTTAGGTGTATTGCAGGTATTAGTTTCTAATGTAATGTTTCCAACCAAATAGGTGACATTTTTCTTATAGGGTTTGTTGTCAAAATTACCTGCTAGTGGTAAAGGCTTCTGCTGTAACATGCCTCTTTTAGAAATACCGGCTGTAACCTATCTGTTTCTAAATCCATTAAGAGTAGACTTTGTAGAGTGAAATAATTGGAGGGGAGTGGTCAAAGACAGTGTTACCATCTTGAATTCAGTGCTTGTGAAAGTCAGCAGTCTGACTGACCCATGGAGGAAAGCTGTTTGTAACTGCAAGACTATGAATAAAAATAGTTAAGCTTTGTGAGATTATTTATGCTCCCCTTCTGTCTGTTCTGCCAGACAGAAACTCACTTCTGGGTATTGTTAGTTCCTTTTGTGTGTCATGCAGTAAATCACTTACAGCCTCTATTGTTACTAGGACTTTTTGGGGGTCCTAATGCATCTTTTAGTAGGGCTTGTAATTTTTACTGTGTTTTCTGTTTTGTGCACCTGAAACTAGGTGTTTGTGAAATGCCTTTTCTTTCCTTTGTCTTAACTGCTTTTTGGTTTATATGTAGTTGCTTTTTTTTTTTTTCGCTTTAGAACAAACTCTAGTTGTCTTCTAACCAGCCAGTTACATAGAGTAACACTTATATCTAAACCCATGTATTTTCTACTAGTGCTATTAGTGTTGAAAATGCATTTTTTGCGGTTTGATTCAGGTAGAGCAAAGCAATTATGATCCTTTGCCTCAAACACAAGCCAAATTTGAGCAAGGAGGCTTGGGAGAGTTTAGTTTTCTTACTTTTAGCATAATGTAGTTTGTTTTATTTTAACTGTATTTATGCACTTCTGCCAGAATCTGGTCAAAACCATTAGCAACAGAATTCAGGATTGATCTTTTGGGGTTACTCACAGATTATGTGCTGAGGGAAATGAGTTAGATTTGGAAAAGGACTGTTCCTGGCATTTCCTAACCTCTGAATGCTGTTTAATGAATGCAAAGCTTGCCTGTAGAGCTAACCTTCCTGAGCACTGCTGTGCAGGCCACCCTGGCTGGAGAAAGGGTGTTCTGGTGCTTCAGTTAGGATCAGGAGTGTTTCTGTAATGTGTGCCACTGCACATAAAGTGAGTGTTGCCTCACTTGCTAGTAGGCATCGCCCTGCTTCCCGACAAGCCTGTGTGTGGGCCTTACCAGAGCACCACCAGTTTTGCTCACTGAAGATGGAGAGAAGTACAGAAGTAGTATTTTTTGCAATAAAAACCTACGTTGTAGTGCACATTGAAGAAGAAATAAAATTTAACTGACCAGGGGCGTGACCTCAGTATTTTGCAGATGAGGTATTTGTATGATCTTCAGTGATCTTCCCTGGAATTTAGGAGGGATGGGTTTCCATGGCTTGAGGAGTTAGTTAGGAGAAGCCTTTTGCCTGTTTTTTCTTAAACATTTCTCTCCAAACATTTATGATAGAGCTTATGTTAAATTTTGCTGTATCTTCTAATGAAGATTTTCTCCCAATCACAATTTCTTAATTTAAAAACTTCGTCACTAGGTGGCAGGCATTAATGCTGCTCACATTGCTTTGCCATTTCTAGGGGCTCCTACCAGCCAATATTCCTATAGATACATACTGTACACAGACAAAACATTGTGGCTCCTACATTGAAAGTATTTGTTTGACTCAAGCAAGGAATGTGTATTACAGGAAAGTGAACTTTTAAATTTAATCCCTAAGGATGCTGTATTTCTTTAACCAAGACTTGTCTAATGTACTGTTCCCCTAAGAACTATTTTCACACTTTCTGCTAGAGACTTTAGGAATATGGCTCTGTCCTTCTGCAGTGCTTATGTTAAGAATAGTGAATTATGAAAGAGAATCAGGAAATTAGTGGCTCCATTAAATAAGGTCTGATTATTTTTTCTTGCTTTTCCTAGTAACTTGTACAAGTACTTTTGTCCTATGTCTGCTTGCAAAAGAATTAGTTTTCATTACATGGCCATCATTCTTTTTGAAATGTAGTGGTGACACAAAATTATTTCCTTAGCTTATTGTTTTATCTTAACAACAACAACAAAAAGCGAAATGCCTATTCTCTGGTCTGTAGCATGGTAGTCCAATGTACAGCATGTTTCTAAATTAAATGTTAAATCAGGAGTAGTTGTTGCTGAGATGGCATGCTGTGTATTAACATTATTGGCAAGGAGCACAAGCAAAATAAAGAATTTCCACCCATTTAAGAGAACTTTTTTCATCTTTTTCTGCCAATGTGGTTTTAAAGTTGAGCTCAAGCTCTATGTTTTTGTTTGTTGTTAAATGCCCTATTTAGTTTTTGAAAATGTGCCTATGTATTTCTTCAAGTCTGTGGTGAGATTGCCTCTCTGTTTCCCATTAGAGATGGCACCATCATTTGATTTATTTTCCCACATAGCCAGAGTCTGCGTGGTCTTTGGGAACTAACTCTGAAGTTCTTGTATTTAGCTCTTCTGAAGGAGACGTTGATACTTCTCTTAGATTTCTTCTTTATATCTTACTAGAGGAATGCTGCAAGTTTTGAAAATTTCTTATAAATAAAATACTATGAATTAAATCATCAGTTGAAGGGATTGTTCAAGATACTTTTAAGTTAGCACAAATGCTTGTAGCTGCTCTGAATAACATTTGTTTTCTTAGAATTGGGATATTAGTATACTGTGTCTTCAAGGAATTTATTTTTTTAAACTATAAGGAACATCTTTACATATAAAATATTCTGTAGATTTGTGATAACTGCTGTCTTCATCAGCTGCCTGAGCAGATACTGCATATCACTGCACTTCACTGTAAACATGTGTAAAAAAGTTTGCATGTGTCTGTGTGTGATACACTATGTAACTATTTGCCTCCACATGACAGCTCTTCAGCAGTATATGCGTTAGTTTTTCTTTTCAAAAGGAAGTAAAGAATACTACAGCCAGGCATATGTACCAGGAAACTTTGTGGGACTTACATTATAGCCAAATTACTATCTTACAACACTAACACTTCCAAAAAAATGAACATGGATCGTTAAGTAAAACCAGATACGACTTATGTTTACACTGAAATTTTGTGGTCTTGATTCCATGTGCATTAGGTCTTTGTTCTGTATCGTATAGTGGAAAAATCTAAAGGGGAGGTGGAACCACCAAGTCATAGATTCATAGCTAAAGTAGAAAGACATTTTCATGTGGTCCAACTGCTTCAGATTCTGAGACTGAGCCATAATTACAACCATTAACTTTTACTACAGATGTGACTCATCACCCTGAGGGCTGCTTTAAGAAACCAGCTGTATGTATAAACCTGTATTTTGCTTTGTAGCATGATGTGCTAGGGCAGAAATGTAAGCATCTTATTACATAAGGCTCTAGTGGGTGGAGTTCAGTAGAGTGCTCCCTGCAGGGGGAAAATATGAAGGAGAAACATCTCTTTATGTTGGGCTGCTGCAAGAGGCAGAGTAGGTTGGCAAGCTGATAGAACAAGCTGACTTGCAGGCTGCACTGCCAGCGCAGTTAATTACAGTCCTGCAGGGCTGTATCAGCTGTGTTACTGTTGATTTGACACATGGTATACTGTGCTTCCAGAAGTACACA